TTTTAATGGTACTGGTGTTTGAACTCAGGGCCTACACATTGAGCCATTTCACCAGCCCTTTTTTGTGAAGGGTTTTTTTGAGATAGGGTCTCTTGGACTATTTGCCTGGGCTGGCTTTGAGCCGTGACCTTCCTGATCTCTGCCTCCTGAGTAGCAAGGATTACAGGTGTGAGCCACTGGTGCCTGGCTCCAGTAGTGAATCTTTACTGACCATCCATAGATATTGACTATAATAAGAACATGACTGTAACTTCAGATGGACTTCAATATCACAATGAGTAAAATACAATCAAAGGCATTCTAGAATTTTTCTTTTTCACAAATAAAACAATTCTACCATCTCCCAGATGTATGCAGGTCCTTTTTCTACGTGCTTGCTAGCCACCTTCTTTTGGCTTTGCTATTTCCCTCCTTTGAGAGCCTGTTTCTCCTTACCCACTTGTCTGCCATGTCAAGAGTACTCCCACCTTCTACCTTCAAATTCTCACTATCTTCTCACTTCTACTCCTACTACTTTCCTGAAATTGCTTTCTCAAATGTCATCACTGCTGATTCAACTCTTTCCCTTCAAACAATCCCTCCTTGGAGCCTTTTCTACCCTTGCTACCTCCTAGACACAATAGTATCAGCATGATAGCTAGTCACCTCTCTGATGGTGCCTTTCTTCTCTTTGTTCTTGGCCCTAAAGAAAGCCATCTTCATCACTCTCTTTTCTCTCAGTACAACACCTTCTTGTAGAACTTGGGCATTTCCTGGGCTTAGATTACTGTATCTACCAAGGGGCTTTCAATGTTCTTCCTCCAGACCTGGCTTCTTCTTGACTCTCATCTACTGTCACCATTTCTTGGGTGCCCCCCTCATCTCTTGATTAGTTTGGGGACTCAGCATATTCCCAAACTAACTCACTGACTCCCTCTCCCCAATCACCTTCTTCCTCTGGTTCTGTGGCCCTCAGACATGGCAATGTTTTCCCTCTTGGTTGTTTGCTTAATTCTGCCAGTTCTATCCTCCCATCTCTAGTGACTGGGCTATCTTTTAGTCTCTTTGCTACCTCCTCCCCTTCAGCCTTTCATTAACTCCTTCAATGAACAATTCTCTCTAACTCCAGTCTCTTTCCATTCTCCAGTGGGTGTTTTACAAGTTCTCCAGGCTAATCTTCCTAAAGAAATGATATCACTGTGATATTTCTTTCTTCCAAAATGCTTTCTTGTATTCTGACCTCCAAATTCATATTTTTAGCCTCTTTTTCTTTGCACCAAAACCATGGCCCCTCAAGCCCCATGTCTGTGGTGGCAGGTTCAAATCACATGCCCCATTTTCTTCCCTGCCCCTTTGTCTGTGTCCTTCCAGCTCTGTGGAATATCCTCTATCACCCATCTCTGCCCTATCACCGTTTGTGTTGCATGGTAACATAAGAAATGAAAAGTCCCATTTCTGTCAAAATCCCCATGAAGGCTCCTTCTTTTCATGATTGTTTGGAAAGTTATAGTAAGTCTTTATCTTTTCCCATAGCTTGACTTGATCAATGCACTACAGATAAAAAAAGATTGGAGGCATCTCATATCGATACAGTGACATGTGGTTAACAACTCAACTAAGGAAGTGGGCTTCCAAGCAGAGCTTTATTTATCACAGGGTGCAGCTCTACAAGCTGTGTGCACAGGAGCCTTGGGGTCAAAGTTGACTGGTGATGTACAGACTCGGGGTGGCAGTCATAAGTGAGTCTGAGCTGTGACATCCGTGCTGTCACTAGAGTTTGCTTCTAATCACAAGGGATGTGGTAAGCCCCAAAGGACTCCACATGTGGCCATCACATGTCATTTGAGCTTCAGAGAAAAAGTCAGCCCTTCTGCCTTCCAATTCACCCATATGATTCCTACCCGAACTTCCCTGGATCTGTAACCAACTGCTTCTAACCTCAGCCAGCTCAGCCCTTTCTTGAAAGACCACCTCAAAGGCTACCTCCTCTGTGGACTTTCTTTAACTCATGGTCATTAGTGCTCTCTCCCTCTCTGACCACACTCAGCACCATAGCTGTGCCTCAATTGGCTTGGTGACGATTTTGGTTAGTTTACAAGTTGTCATCTCAACAAATAGATTGTTAAGTGTTTTGAGCTTAGAATCTGATTTTCATTTCTTATGTTGACATGCAAAACAATGGGTACTCAGAACAAGAGCTCTTTGCTTGTCTGAGCCCTTTACATATGATGGGATGTTCCCTATGGTACTTTTGCTTCTGGTTGCAATTTAATCAACGCTATTTGAAGAAAACATTGAAGGATAAAGTTTTAGATCTTTTGGTAACCTTCACTCTCAGATATTCTGACATAACTATATATTTATGCCCTATAAACATGAATCTATTTGCCAATCTCCTGCTTAAATTTATGACTTTTTGTAGGGCTTCTAGGTAGGGCAGCTTTCAGAATAAAGACCCATTCACTGTACATTGCCACATACACGGCTGAACAATCTCAAACATTTCTTTATGCAAGTACATGTGAATAGGCTAAAATTTCATTATTTTGTGAAGATGAAGATGGGATTCATCATCATTACAAGATGGTCAATGCCTTTTTTTTTTTTTTGGTCAATTTTTGTACATGTGTGACAGGGACCTATGGATATTTCTCTGGTAGTATCAATATTTTACACAGATGCCCTTTCAACTTTGGTACATGATACAAATGACTTGTTTTCCTCTCCAAAAATCTGCATTTCCCTGCAGGGACTTCACCATTGTGCTGTTCATGAACACTTTCCTAGGATGTAACCTTTCCAGAAGTGAAAGGTTTCTCTAGAGGGCCCGAGGAGAACACGGTCTTTGCTGAAGTTTGGAAAGTCTTTGTCACGCTGTGAGGAAACATCGCCAGAACTCTGAGCCTGGTTGTCTGTAGACATTTTAACTCACATCAAAACCTGAAGCCCAGGACCCAGTCAGCTCTCTTCACCTTCTCATTTATGGTCCACCTAAGCATGAAGTCAAAAGAAACCTTTCTTTTTTTTTGGTTTCTCTTTTGAATGAAGGTTAGTATTTCAGCTCTAGGCTTAGAGTGTTTATATAATTAAAAAAATCATTTCTTCATATAAATTAAAGGGCACTATAAGCAAACCAACAACAGCAAGTAGAAGAAGACCTCTTCAATAATAGCCATAGAAACTGTAGATGTGGGTCTCACTTGACTCCACAGGCCTCTGCAAAGAATCAATCCCTCTATGCTCCACTGGAGTGGTGTGACTTTTATTTCCTTCATCTCTACTCACCCTCTCAGAGTTTCTGACCATGAAAGGAGTTTAAAAAGGCTCCAGTCTGGATAGATACAGTCTCTGAGAGGAGATGTTCTCAGAAGATGGCCAAAGTGTTCTGCTTCCAATTGCTAAAGGCCTTGACTTGAAGGAACAAGGCCTTTTTGGGCAGACGTGTGCTGTGGGCTGTGGGCACCTGGGAGAGGGGTTGAGTGGCATCATGGATGTGTTGGTCAGCACTTTCCTCCCTTGGGAATGACTGGTTGACAAAGATGGGTGGCATGGGCAAGTAGGATCACTCAGAGCACCCCAACCTGTCTCAGTGGTGCAAGAAGGGGATATGCAAACTTTCTTGCCTGGAGATGTTCCTTTGTTTATTATTTCTGCCTCATCCCTCCAAACAATTAAAGTTGGCTTGTCTGGAGAATTGGAGGAATAGGATGAGCAGATGTTTGGGATGTTTTAGTAAAGTTTGACCTAAAAGCCGGGAATGAACTAAACAACCTACAAAGTCCATTTTGTTAAACCACCAGTATCAGTACAGCAGTTAGTTTAAATATCCCCATTAGCCCACTTGGAGGACTGATTTGGGAATTTAACTGATGACAGGACTTAAAAGCAGTAAGCCTGTCTTATTGAATGGAGGATCTCCAGCTGCTGAACTGTAAAGTAAATCTCTAATAAAGCAAATTTTATCATGTCTTCTTTTAAAAAAAATCCATAAATTTCATGTCATCCACCAATGGAAAGAAGAAAAAGAACTCTCTAAGTGTGCTTCTAAGCACACTTCTAAGTGTGCTTGTCAATGAAGAGCAAAACCAGGAAGGTGTCCCCAATCCCAGAGAGAACCACAGTGACTCCACAACCTCACCAATGAGGAAAGACCAGCAAAGACTGACCTGATTTTGGTGGAGGGAGTTGATGGCACCCCAGTCTCATCCTTCATCTCTGTTTAGCCAATCAGTACCAAGTGCTTATAGTTCAGATTCTTTTTGGCAAGCAAAGGGGTTGGCTCTGGGAGGGGGGTACAAAGTTGAATACCACATGAAGCCCTTGTTTTAGGAGGTCTCTGTTTCCTCCAGGTAGATCTGTTGCATGTCCCTCTGAATTGAACAGCGTGAAACAGATGACAGTGACTTTGACATCTTATGTTTAGAATTACAGAATCACAGTTGAATTGACATCATAGGAGCACTTTATAATCTTTATAATCTTAGAGATTATAAAGAGAGGGCTTAGAGATCTTTTTGCGAACTGAGATAAAATTAAATGATTGTTATAGTTCCTTATAACCTGCCAAAAGCTAGACAAACATTATTATTATCTGCTCTAAGCTTCTCAGTTTACGTAGGAGGCAGATGGCCACAAAGTTAAATGATTGCCCTAGGTCTTATAGCTATGTCGTTAAAAAGGTTGTTTAACATTCATTAAGTCATATTTTATTTTGTTTTTTAACACACATAGCTAATATTTAATCTTTCAAAGTGTGTGATAAACAGATAGAAGTATGAGAAAGAAGCTACAGTGAGGATATATTGGAACCCCATTTTGTTGAGCTCATCTAAGATATAATTAACAAGAATAGCTTGCAAACAAAAATATTCAAGTCCTTATAAGGAAATACTTCAGTAGTAATTAATTGTGCATATAATTATGTGATAATTTAGCTGTATCACATAGAATATTTGTAGGAGCCAGAGAACCTGGGGACAGCCTCCCCCAAGTTTTCCCACCCCACTCCCCACAAGGGCCTGTCTCTGTGCTAGTTTCCTGCATGGTTAAGGTACAGTGCTAAAACAGCAGAGTCCCCGAGAATATAATTAAAGTTCCATGTATAAATCCTCTATTGACACCAGTGAGTGATCACAGTACGACATGCTGGCCGCTCTCTGATAGCTCATTATGAAGTTCGTTAGAAAAGAGATTAGTGGCAATTTGTCAACAGCCTCTAGAAGCTAGTGACAAGGAATTTACCTTTTTGGGGTTGCTAAAGGTTGAGCATCACTTGCAGGAGGGATTCTTCACCCGCTCTTCTGCCAAGGGACAGTTCCCACAAGTGGCTCGGATGATTTGAAGCTATTCTATATAGTTCTAAGAAGCAGCAAGAGGAAGAATGACAGCAGGTCTCCACCTTCCCCCCCCACCCCCACGTCCACCAAAGTGGCCTTTTGTCACTTACACTTGAGAATTCTTGTTAATTATATCTTAGATGTGTGGAATTTCTCTTGTCTTTTTAATGAACTGTAATGCTCTTGAATAGGATGATTTCTTTTCTTAACAAAAGTGTAGATGTGGCCTGTCATCAAACTGAGTGCTGAGACTTCAACATGGGGTCACTTGGTACTTCTGACTCATAAATAATAGCGTCTGGTATGGATTAAAGATGGTGTACATACTGTCTGATGGAGTGACTTCATTTTAACTTTACAATTGCTTTATCACGTCAACAGCTCTTGTTCACTTATTCCATTTAATCACAGCATCCTTATCACTTTGGAAAGCTAAAAAAAATGTTGCTCTCACTTTACAGAAAAGGAAACAGATTTGGGAGGTTTTGATGTCTAAGGAGCCATGGTTGGTTAGCTTTTCTTCTCATTTGTGAGCCCAATTTGTGTTTACTAGACACACTGGGTGTTGGCCTCAGGCAGGGCTTTATAGACAGTGGACACTGTGCCTTCCTCATTGATCACTTCCCCACACCAGGAGGTAGGTCTGTCATCTCCAGTTTTCAGATAAGCGTTTCAGTGATGTTATATAATTTTAGCAGAGTCATACATGCTGTGATTGACCCAGCTGGCTTTTTATGGCACATGTCTCTAAGAGCCTGCGATCTTTCCTCTAAGGCACAAGGCAAACCTACTGTCACTTTTAATAGTCTGAAAGCCCAAAAAGCAGGGGCTTAAGGTACCATTCAACTGATAGCTCAGTTGAAGAGACTGTTCTGAGTTTTTATTTGGTTGCTTGTTAAGTACGTTTTACAGCATTATTATGCTGTCCAAATGAATTTAATTCAACCCAACAAGTTTGTTAAGTGTCTGTTTTGTGCAAATTCTGTGTAGCAACCAATGTCCAGTTTTTCCTTACAAACAGAGTCTCAATTTCACTGAGGACAATAATGTGTATAGGTGAAAAATACCATTCCTTATCTTTTCACATAGCTAGGCAGTTATGTGAATAAACTCTGGATGGAGCCTCGAAGGAAACTCTTTAAAGACATTTTTGTCCTTCCCTTTCCCTCTGGCTAGAATGTAGATATGTCTGGAGCTCTGACAGCCATCCTGGGCCATGAAGGAATCTTTGTTAGTGGAAGCCAAGTGTTAAGGATGGTAGAACTGAATGACCTAAGAAACTGAGATCCCAGCGATGATGGGACATCAGCCGTGGGCCACTTACATCTGGAATTACCATAAGAAATAAATAAAATTTTATCTTTTTTAAGCCTCTCTGTTTTTTGGATTTCTAATTGCTGGGGTACAGAAAGCTGAACAAATTATATTTGTTGGTTTCTAGGAAAGGCAACCCTACAACTCACTGGAGTGCAGGAATGCAACTTGATCCAATGAAAATGTAAAATTGGTGGGGAAGAATTCCACAAAAAGAACTTGATTCTTCTAAGAGGAGGCCATCAGGAAAGACTTCTTGCCCCTGGGATGGAGGGAGATAAGAAATGAAAATGAAAAAGTCACGGAAGAAGAGACCGGAGACCAAAAAGGTGAGTTTAAGCAATGACAAGTTTTCTTGAAGTTTTCAGCAAAGCACTGACTGCTAATCAGTTATGAACCTTGCCCTATGGACTCCAGTCTAAACCAAACAGCAAGTTGGTAGACATCACTTGGGATGTTGTCTGTTGGCATATTCAAGTCCCTTTCTTTAAATATATTGCTTAAGTGATGATATTTTAATTTTTAAAGATGTTTTGGCTGTAGTGGGGTTTGAACTCAGGACCTCAAGCTTGCTAGTAGGACCTCTACCACTTGAGCCATGCCTCTTGTCCTTTCCTTTAGGATATTTTTTAGTCTGAGACCCAGGCTGGCTTCAGACTGCCTCCCATGTAGCTGGGACCATCAGTGCACACAACCCTGTCCAGCTTATGTGTTGAGATGAGGTCTTGCTAACTTTTTGTCCAGGTCTTGAACTAGGATCCTTTAGATCTCTACCTCCCTGGTAGCTGGGAGCCACTGTGCCTGGCAAGTAGTGGCATTTTCAGCCATAGGAAGAGTAGCTCTCCTTTATACATTTGGTTATAATTGAATGAAGAGGGCTTTTAGAGGATTCAGTATCATATTTGCAGGACTGGGTTAAAAAGTTTCCTTTGGATGAAGTGGGAGGAGAGAGAGAGAAAAGGGAGGCATCCTTTCTATGGGATGCCTTTCACTCCTTACTGTCTGGGACAAACAGGAAAGATTTTCAGGTGGTTCCACTGCAGGGGCCATGCTGGATCTGGGTCTTAGAGGCAGAGGGCAAGGGGCAGGAACAGAGTGATGAGAAAAACAGAGAGGACCCTGTCCAGTAGCTGATGAATGGCAGAAGCTGGTTGAAGGCTCCAGGCATCTCACTCTGGAGCTCACCACATTTCTGTGGGCTCCTTTCTTTTCATCAGTCTCCCTTACAGTTAGATTAGGACCAACTGACTGGCTCTGATCAGTGCACTGCAAATAAAAATGGCAGAACCAGAAGGTCCTATCTGATCTGCCAGCCCTGTCTCCCCAGTGTAGTGATATTGGTGCTTATATTCCAAGTGGCACAGCTGCAAAGCTGTCACTGTCTATCCTTGCAGAGGGGTTGCTCTCAAAGTGTCATCTTTATGTGACAGAAAAACAAGCCTTAGCTGAATAAAAACATTGGCACTTGAGAATTATTGTAGTGGTGGTTTACATTAAATACATGGATTCTGATTTTACTCTTTGGCAAGGAAAATGAGTGCCAGCCCTTTGTAAAATAGGTGGGAGGCTGTGTGTACTTGATTAGGGGCGTAGGATGTAGAATTGGCATAATATAGGCTTTGGTTTGACTTCTGGGTGAGTTAGGGCAAGTTTCCTAACCTCTTCAGCCCCAGATTTTTATCTACAAAATGAGAATGATGGCTGTAGTTCCTCCCCAGGGCAGTTTTCAAAGAATGGCTACAGAGACTACATCAGAAGTATTTTAGACTGTAACTACTGTTACAGGCCAATCACGGGGCACCTATCCAGAAGCTACTGAACCTAAATATTTGTGGGGTGGGTGAGGGTCTTGGAAGTTTGTGTTTTTAATGAGCTCCCCAAGTGACTCTCTTGCTTACCAAAGTTTGGAAAAAGACCACTCTTGTGGCTTGTGAGGGTTCCATGAGATACTAGGAGCAAAGTGCTAAGCACCCTACCTGGCCCATGGTATATCCTCGATACATAGAAGCAATTATATCTATCATTACAGGACACTATGGTGTAGATTCTAATTTACTCAGAAAACTTGGGCAAGTACATGAAAGGTAAAAAAGGGAGATAGCCTGACTGTTTTTAGGATTTTAGAACTCTGACCTCAAAGGGAAGGCAAGAGGGCAGGCACACTGAATGCAGCACAATTGACTTCAGTGGAAAGTTCAGGCAAATTGCTGTGTATTCAGCAACAAAATAACCTGAAAACAGATGAAGGAGAAAGTCAGTCTTGTACCAGCAAAATCCCTTAAGACTCCCTGGCTTTATGAAGGCGAATTTTTGAGCCTCGATGGAACTGCGTTAATGAGCATATAAAAATGTGGTTGGATGGTGACCACTGTGCCTGGAGCTCTGTGGAGAAATTATTGACAGCTATATTGCTTATTCCTGTAGTGGTTAGAAAATAAATGCTTTTGTCTAATCAAGTAATTGCATTAAGGAGCTTTTTCCTGAATAGGCAAGAAGTCAAGTGACATTTAACCAACTTAACTGTCAAGAGGAGTTTGGCTCACATTTTTTTTTTTAGTTCAACTAACATATTTTTCTCTTCTTCCATATGCAATCAGAGTCTAGAAATAAAGTCAAGTAATCCTCAAAACAGCACACTTATGATAACTTTTCCCTGGTTCAGAAGTGACATTCAGCAAAATATGTATTTTGGTTTCTCTATTTCTTGAGAGGAAGAGGATGGGATGAAGTTTGGGTACAGTGCTAAGTCCTAATACAAAGAATAATTTCCCAAGCCTCAAGCAGGCAGCTCTGTGCCCAGGCTGAAAGACACTATTTAACTTTCTTCTGTAGAGGAATTCATTGTACATTTTGCTACAGAGACACTTTCTAATTAGGATGGTTTCAATTGACAGGATTTTCCTGAAAATACAAAAATCAAAAAGTTTTTCTCAGTTGAAAGACTAACTAGTGGAAAATTGTGAACACACAAAACAAGAATATAAATATACAGAAAAATGGCTATTTTTGTGTGGAAGTTGTTATTATAGAATCTCAGGTCTTTTGGGTCTTTCCAAAGGCCACCTTCATGCTTGCACATTCATAAAGACACGGCCACTGAGTGAAAACACAGTTACTGGGTCATTTTGTCTACACAGTGTCAGATTCTTGGCCAGTCCTTTTTTGTTCACCAAATTCCCATAAAGTGTTGTTTTCATGCCATGCCCTAGTCACAACTTTGTGAGTTTTGTGATCTTAACTCAGGATGATGACCACCTCACTCCAAGGCCTCAGTGGATTTGATTTTCTAGAACTTTTAACCCCACTCTGCCATATTCCTCCTCCTCATTTGCCCTCTCTTCCTCTTCCTCTCTTTCATCTACTTAGTAATGCTAGAGTATATTACTACTTCATGGATCTCAATCCTCAGAGCTTATAAAATTACTTCTATTTTTGAGGTAAACTTGCTATTTTTCTTCAGCCTTGGATTTGCCCACCAGGCTTGCAGTGAAGAATGAACTTAAAAATAAACTAACCCCATGTGGCAGAACCACGGGTTTAGGAGCACAGCTTGTACCACCAGGCCAGGCACCATCTTGTTCTTGTTTGAAGGATGGTGTTTTATCAAAAGAGCTAGTAGGATGACAGGAAAAGGTGACAGAAGAAAGAAGACAGTATCCCAGTCTCTGAGCACAGTGACATAATGCTTGTCCTGACCTGCAGCCCAGGTTGTCTCCTTAGTCCCTCACAGCATCCAGTTGCCAAACCAGGAGAGAAAAGCTGACTTGCCAAAGCGGGTGTTACAAGTGTTCACTAATATTCGCTGACTGCTTTGAAGATGAGAAGCATTATAGGGCACTAAGTACAGTAATTATCAATTATAAAATCTCATACAACTCCCCGGAAAATTAAGGCTAAACAATCAGGAAATGCAAATGTTTGTGACAGGAAGCCAGGAACCAAGGTGACTTGTGAAATATAAAGAGCTCAACATACCGTGTTTCACATGGGACAAGCCAGGGACTTAATGGTTTTGGTAAGTCATTGCCTCCTTGAATTGAAGTAGTGATGATGGAGGAAGACTCACTTAGAGATGTGTCGTCTTAAAAACCCATGGGATTCTGGGAATAGAGTGCTCATGTACCATTTCCCTTCTAAGAGTAATAGGGCTGGAGTATGATGCCATGGGGGTGCCATGAAAGGAATACCTTATTTAGAATTTGGCCTGGGCTTGATACTCATCTTTTCTCTATTATCTGTGAGTAACTGGGTGATAAACTGAAGACCTCTGGGCAATACAATGTTCACGCATTGTAGACACACATCGTGATGCTATTTGTACATCAGTCATTGAGCTCTTTTAAGGATTCTGGAATGAGGCACTTCTCTGTGGTTATTTGATGGTGTTTGCAAACTTAAACTTTCCATCTTGGTAATCTTTCACCTTTTCTGGGTCACCTGGAGTCATCAAGCTGATGTTGTATCTGGCTAGTGGCAGTATAGGCAGTTGACTCTATCACCTCATCTCTAGGGTGCTGGGTAGGCTATCCACTTCAATACACAACCTTTTGCCTGCCATGGCACCAGCAGAAATTGTATGCATTATTCTCCCATCAAATACATCTTTTTAAAGTATGATGGTAAAATAAAACTCCTCCCAATACATCTTTTTTGAAAGGCAGAGCAGAATTTGAGACATGTATGTGAATTTCAACATACTACCTCATTTGGATAAGAGGTTCCTTAGCAGGTTGAGTGTGGCCATGGTAGAAGAGCTGATACAGTGTCTTTTGCTGCAAAATGCCTGCAGTGAGAATGTGCCTGTCTGTCCCTGAGGAACCCCAAGTTGCCTTGGGGTGAGTGACAATTGGAAGGTGAGGGGAGCCACTTTGTAATGGTACCCTATTATTCAGGGATCCTTTCTTCAGCAAACTCCTTTGTGAGATTAGTAGAGGACAACTGTGAAAATACATAGGTGGGATGGTAGTCACAAAAAGACCCTTTGACTATTCACAGAGACTTTGAAGCTGAGTGATGCCAAGACATGGAACTTCATTTTCTGATGGCTCCAGAGGACCTGTAACTCTCCTTCACTGCATTAACAGGACAGAGGCAAGTGACTTCAAGACAAGCAGTGGCAGCACCTAATGACATCTGACCCTAAGTCAGCCTGTAATACCAGTTCCTAAAGTGAGCAATGACTTTAGTCATGATGCACAAACAATATCCTTCTCAAGGAAGCCTTCTGTGAGAAGTGGGGGACAGGGACATCAGATATATTTGGGGTTGGAGGATTAGCTCTTTTCTCAGTGAGTTATGTTTCTGAGCTACTCTGCTTCTCTCTGTCTGCACTCTTCTGCGTCTCAAAGTTTTTGTCCATTTTAGTGGAAGTTCTATTTATACCTTTTTTAAATTTATAGATTTTTTTGATGTCTGAGAAGTTCATTGCACTTATTGCCTCCACTAAACATTTTTAAACACTGAGAAAGAAAAGGCTGTGTTTTGCCAAAGGCAAGGGACTGAGCGCCCTTTGCGACTTCGGAGTTTGCTTAGGACTGGAAACAGGATGTTCTGTTTGGCCAAAAGAAAATGCTTTTCTTTGCTTTTAACTCTCCTATTAACCTTCCCTTTTGATGAAATTTGAGAGGCCCCATCATCAGGTGGCCAGGAAGGGGATGACTTGTAGACATCACCATCAACAGGCAGTTTTCTCCCCACGTTCCTCTAAATCTTGAGGTCTCTTGACCCTTGGTGCTCTTTTTGTTTCTATGTTCCCTTCTTTACCTCTTCATACTGGCATTTTGAGGTTCTCCTTGGGTTTAAATGGTTAAGCCAAAGGGTCTTGACTGTGTGGTCCAAATCTAGATTTATGCACTGTGCAGCTTGTTCCTCAGGGACAGACAGGCACATTCTCACTGCAGCCATTTTGCAAAGAGTGATTAAGAGATGCTGAATGTGGTGTTCCTTCTACAAGCAAATGAGCCAATTGACCTACAGATATCCCCTTCCTGCCTTGTGGGTGTCACTCTCCTGACAACTTGGAAAATACAGCTGTAGGAGTAAAATTTGGATATAGGTCCTTGTACTTTGCCAGTCAAAATATGAGCCACCCTATTGTCCCTTAAGAGAAAGCATTGCATACAGAGGGACAGAACAAAAGGGCCATGCTCACAGCAGCTCTTTGTTCTCAGTGTAGTTTAAATGCCCTCCTCCAAGGAGGAGGGCCCAGTTACAGAGCCTTTCCTATCTCTGGGTTCCACTGTGGTCCTCTTAAGGGCAGGACCGTGACTCAGTGGCATTTTTATTTCTGCAGTTCCTTTGGGTATGGAGGAGAACACTTGGTTTCTAAAAGTTGGTCATGGCATCCCTGGACTCTGAGCCACTACTATGTGTTATGGCCTACTGCGACAGAGATGCTGAGGTCATGTGAAAGATGACACCCTTCTCCACTCTCCAGGACAGGATGGTGGTGACCTTTCAAAGCTGTAGCAGAAGAAGGCATTGGATAAAGACCAGGAAGTTGCTGGGAGGTTCGGGGTAGAAAAGCCCCAATTGGAGGGAGGTCCTTGCCCAGCTCGGCCAACAACTGGCTCGGTGTTGATGCTCCCTGGGTCCCAATGTCCTTGACTACGCAGTGAGCTGGCTGCACTCAAATGATCTTTAAAGCTCATTGCACTACTCCAAACCCATCCTTCCACTGGCTGTAGTGCCAGGCCCATCTGTCATAGAGGGGTAGAGAAAAAGGTTGCAGTGAGGGCAGTATGATGGCCAGAATGGACTTTGATTTTTCCCCATATGATATGCTGTTCAAGCCTGAGACCACCCCATGGCAGGGCTGAGACATGGGATCTGGCAGTGAATCAACAAGGAAGTATTTAGCACAGTTCTTCTGTCTGATGATAGAACTAAGGAGACCTGGCATGCTGCTGATACGGAAAACAGATTCCCTGAAAGGGGGGATTTGGAGGGACATAGCAAGCCTGGCTGCAGGACCTGAGGAGCAGTGAACTTGGCACCCTGAGTGGTGCTCTTGACTCTGAATATTTTAGGACATGCTTTTCTCAATTTCAAATATGCACAGCTTATTTATGTAGGTGATAACTGGGACTGCCAATCATTCAACCATCCATCCATCCATCCATCCATCCATCACCATCCATCCATATTCCATTCCAGGTCCTGTGCCTGCCTCACAGGGATAACCAGAGAGGGAAAATGACAGCCTATTGAAATCAGAGTCTCATACATTTGG